AATGGAGATCGTCGTTATGATTATCGTCATGACCGTCGTCGTAGTAGTAGTAGTAGTAGTAGTAGTATAGTAGTCGTAGTAGTAGTAGTAGTAGTAGTAGTAGTAGTAGTATAGTAGTCGTAGTAGTTTGTCGCCCACTTGGCACGACTGCGTCGGCCCCGCAGTAGTAGTCGTAGTAGTAGTCGTAGTAGTAGTCGTAGTAGTAGTAGTGGTAGTAGTAGTAGTAGTAGGAGTAGGAGGAGGAGGAGTAGAAGTAGAAGTAGAAGTAGTAGAAGCAGAAGTAGAAGTAGAAGTAGAAGCAGAAGCAGAAGTAGTAGTAGTAGTAGTAGTAGTGGTAGTGGCAGTGGCAGTGGCAGTGGCAGTGGCAGTGGTAGTGGTAGTGGTAGTAGTAGCAGTAGCAGTCGTCGTCGTCGTCGTCGTGGTAGTAGTAGTAGTAGTAGTCGTCGTCGTCGTTGTAGTCGTAGTAGTAGTGGTGTATGTTGCTGAGCTGCTGTCGCATGGGTTTTTGGCATGGTCATGCACTCGGAACTCCTTCTGGCCCGGTGCAGGTCCTGAACATGTGTTTGCCTCACATGCTTCGATGCCTCTGAGTGTCTGTTCTTGATTTCTGTATACTAGGCTTACGATAGGAGACGTCCTCCGACAACCTTTTGCCCACATGTACCACGCGGAGTGAAGCAGTTACCGGGTAGATTTTCTCAGTTCTCAATGAATGGTGAGCCGGCGTCGTCCATTTCCAGCAGCGTTGTAGCTGCCTTGTAGCTAAGAGACTCGATCCGCACAACTTGTGTTTTCGGCGGTCACTCTCGGACAAGCCCGGCGAGATCCTTATGAACGGTTGATGTGCAGGTTGTTTACTGCTACGTGCTGCAGCTACGGACAGCTAGGTCTGAGATCACGTTTGCTCTCACAACCCATTGACTTTGTCCTTTTTGCTTATGCTGTCTGCAATGCAGTATCATTGCCGCTCTCTTGTACAGTGTGCACTGCCAGGTCTATGTTCCACGCAAGCTGCTTGGCTGCGCGGTGCCTTGTGGTGAGAGATGAAGTCCGTCGCATAGAAAGTCTTTCCACTCGTTCACATCCTGTGAAAAACTCAATGAGTTGCGGCTAAGGCAGACAGCAAGGCGGCCTGGCAGATCCCCCTAATGTGAATGCTTGTCTGAAGGAAGCCAAGAGTCCTGCATCAGTCGCCAGAGGTTCAAGGATGGAAAACCCAACTCCTGTTTTCAAGAATGAAAGCAGGCTGCACTCTGAAACTCTCAGGCCGGACCGGTCAGGGTCAGAATTTCAATGTGTCACCAGCATGAGAAGTCTCAAAGACCTCAAATTGGTATGTGGGAACTTCATGGCTCATACGCAATGAAGACTTCGAGGATTTAGCTCCACACAAACACCTCGACACCAACTGGCTGGGCCGACTATTGCCTCCACCGAGCTTATCTTAGACTGAGAAAACTACTGTACATGTAATGTATCGCACTCACCCCACTGAAGCCCTCTCCTTAAGTGTCCGTCCTTCGCAGTCTCCTCGGCAGCAGCAGCATACTTCCCAGCCATCTCCTGGGGCACACTTACTTGACATGGGCACGCCGGTGTAACGTTCGATGTTCCTCATCCTTAACGATGACAGTTCAACCATGCAGCATTCGTCCGCTCTGGCCGACCGGTGGCTTTGTCTTTGAAGCGCTCCTGGAATCAAGAGGGGCCCGGGTTGCGTTTAGTGTTGCCGTTCACGCAAGTTCCTGTTGTTGTGGCTTGACTGCCAGGCTTGGCGTTCGGCATCTTAGGAAGCATTGGACTGGGACAGCATGGGACAGCTTCAATATGCTTCAATGGCTCGGTGACCTTCTGTTGCTGCGTGGAAGCTCAACAGTTCACCTATGCTGGCTGCTACCTCTGCATAGGTATGATGACAAGCTCCAGCCTGTACAATGTTCATCTATGTGCAGAACGACCACGAACCACACGCCAATTCACTCGTCACCGAAACGGAATAAAGAGGAAAGACAAACAACCGGGCAAATGCTCGAAGAGTAGAAGATAAGACATAACAAGTTGGAAGCAAGAGCAAAGGCAGGCACAGTTTGCTTGCTGGTTGGGTGGGCGCGTGCTTGCTTGCAGGCTGATGGACGCACACGTACAGGCGTGGCAAAAAGCGGTCATTGCTGTCGAAGATGCGCATGCAACATTGCGCTTGATGTAGCTCTTGGCAAGTACGACGGCTGCACGCATGCGGACTTGCCTGCCAGTCGCTTCATAGCCTGCCGCCAGCACTCCAACTTATTCAAAAGATGTGTGTTCCCGTTGCGCATCCGTTGATGCATGACGACGGCTTGCATGAGATGGCCGGCCACTCAAGCGTGTCTGATGACCTCGCCAGTGGCAGTGCGGCAAACTCAGTGCTGTCCTGGTGCATGCCGCTGACCCTCATATGTTTCAGTGCATGCGAACTTTACATGTGCGAGACTGTTTGCAGGTGCGCTGCGTGCAAGAGACATCGCTGCTCACACGTACGATGTGTCCGATTGACAGGCTGCAATACCGGCACTTAATATTGTTACACTCGGTTTCGTGTGCGGCGTCCCCCAAACACCAAGATCACCCTCTTCATTGTCCGCCCCGAGTTTCAGCCCAAATGCATCAAACAAGCATGGAACGCAGGCCTGCAGTCAACGTTGCTGGGCTGCATGCAGCCAAGTGAAGCATTTACTCCTGTCCTACTGATACCTTGACCGTGAGCAAATCCGACTTTAACAATAGAAAATATAGAAAGATAATGACCTCCCATGGAAAACACATCACAGGGGTGCGCTGAAGGGGTTCGTGGAATTTTCCAGTCATTCCAGTGAACAGCAAGCAAACAATTACCCTGCGACACCCGCTTGTCCATGACTACACATGGACTCAAGCGCAGTGAGTAAGCCCGGAAGCAACGACTCGACTGCTTGGAACAGATGTCCTTCTGCAAAGCCAAAATTTTGGTTTCGCAAACCTTCGTTGATGGAACAAGACTATCACTTAAACAGTTCAGCGCGCCGGAGCAGCAAACCAATTCTCTCCAAGAGAGCCCAAGAACAGGCGGCGGAGTGACCACAAGAATCTGTGCAGATGGCACGCGCTGCCTGCAGGGGCGTTGCGTTCCAGTGTTGGCACCCAGATAGGAGCATGTTGTCGTTTGAGTCTGGGGGTTGGATGTGGAGGGGTCGAGCCGACACCAACGTGTGTATCAAGCATTTTGCGGGCAGGTGGCCTGAGAATCTCAATGATCTCCTGCAGATTCTTTCGGTACTCGTCCAGTGGGACCTGATTCCAACAGGCCAGCGACGCCCGATCCATGTCTTCTGCTGACATGGCACCCAGGTCGTCCTTTGCTTCCGGTGTTGGCCCGAGAATTCAAGTAGGTCTTACACAGTGCCGAGGCTTGGCTGTACCCGGCACTCTTTCCACGATCACGAGTTTTGGAGCAGCTCTTTATTCTTAAACCTAGCCTTGAGGTACCCCACTTTGGCTCGATGCCCACCCAACTATGTGCTGCAGCGGGCATGCTGCTTTGGGTTCTCTTCTAGCAGCGAGGCATCATTCGCGCCGAAGAATACCTCAGGCTCAGACAATGCTCAACGATCAGAATAGTCCAGCTCGCAAAAGCCTCCCTGATGCTGCATGAAGGTAATCAGGAGCTTCACAGGATGACTTCCGCGCAGTTGCCGACTTCATTGTCGTCGTTGATTCACCGAATTTCTACTTCGTTTACGACTGGAGCTAAGGGCTACAGATGCCTCAGATGTGAAAAAAAGGCGGTCGGTTATGTTGTTCCGCAAGCTTGGGGATGCTTGGGGTGCACGACCTTTCAACAGCACGATCGACGAAAAGGGCTCAGAAATAGCAGATCTCGCCCGGGCATTGTGGACTATGCCCCTTTCGTGCGCAGGGAAGTCATTGAAGAGCTTACATCGGAGATGGACTAAACTCGAGATGAGTCATGGCCGCTGTAGAATCCACTTGAGAGCTGAGAAGTACCACTAGACACTAGATTCCTTCAATAATAATTAAAGTCCCTGGTGCCGCAGCCACACCTTGTCTACTTGCACTTGAGGCACTCTTGAGGTTGTGTCAGTAGTGCGCATGGATGCTTGCCTGGAAGCGGAATGCTCGCATAGGCATGTCTACATTGTGCGCAGCGGCTGTTATAACGCCCAATAACTTCCTGGCGAGCTTGCAGGAGGGATGCTTTCAGGCGACGGCGTGTCTCTTGCGCGTGTTTGTGCAAACTGATGCGCGGCTTTGTGCAAGCGGACATACTGCCGGCATTGGTTACCCTGACATCGACTGGTGCTGAAACTCTGGAACCGAAACAGAAGCGGTGATTCCGTCAGAGTCAGAAGGCGAGATGCCGTGACCAGGCGGGTGTGGCTGTCGGATGAAGGCGAATCCTCTGGAACGCCTCTCTCGTCCGTTGCACTGAACAAGCACGTTAACTTAGTGTAATTAGTGGGTTACTTCCCGGACCAAGCGCCGCCGAGGTTCGGGATCTCGCTTCCGAGAAGTGGCGCGCCTAGCTATTCCTGCTACAGTATTCCTCCTGAACAAGCTACGACTCCGCAGCTGTGACTGTAACTCGGTAGTTGAGGCGACCCACCTTGCACTCGGGCCTGGATCCAAGCTGGACACATTTCTCAAAAGACGACTGTTCGCACCGACCTGCTCCTGCTTGGAGCATGGCTAAACCGCTGCGTGTGGTGTAACCACCTCACAAGTAGCTCGATTCCACTGGCTGCACATCACGCAGAAAAAGGCCTGCCTGATTGAATAACTTTCTGAAGCTTTTGTGCAACTCTGAAGTGTCATTTTGCTACACATCCACTACAAAAGCTCGGAGGGGTTGAGCCGAGGGACTGTAGCCCCGATTGAGCACGTCGCATCTCCTGATCCACGCAACTCATGCATGCAGCACACGGCCTATACTTTGTGCTCCGGCCCGTCGTAGGCGGTGGGCCGTCCAAGGACTTTGGATAGCAGCTTTAGCTTGCAGACTGGAGAACGTCTAAGGTTAGGGCAAGGACCCGCAGTGGGAGACCTTAGCAGTAACAGTAGCAGTAGTTGTGGTGGTGGCGATCGGGGTCGGGGTCTAGTAGTAAGAGTCGTAAGGGTAGTAAGGGTAGTAAGTAGTAGAGTCGTAAGGGCAGTAAGGGTAGTCAGGGTAGTAAAGTAGTAGTAGTAGTCGTCGTCGTCGTAGTAGTAGTGGGTAGTAGTAGTGGTAGTAGTAGTAGTAGTAGTAGATTATGATGCATGATGAAGGATGATGATGGATGATGATGACCGATGATTTTGGTGG